CTAAACATCATAAAATCCATCTATGAGAAGCCCTCAGCTAACATCATCCTCAATGGGGAAAAACTGAGAGCTTTCCCCCTGAGATCAGGAACACGACAGGGATGTCCACTCTCACCACTGTTGTGTAACATAGGGCTGGAAGTCCTAGCATCAGCCATCAGACAACAAAAGGAAATCAAAGGCATCAGAATTGGCAAAGAGGAAGTCAAACTTTCACTTTTCACAGATGGCATGATACTCTACATGGAAAACCCGACAGACGCCACCAGAAGCCTACTAGAACTGATCCACAAATTCAGCAAAGTCACAGGATTCAAAATCAACATACAGATATTGGTTGCATTTTTATACACCAATAATGAAGCAATAGAAAGAGAAATCAAGAAACTGATCCCATTCACAACTGCACAAAAAACCATAAAATACCTAGGAATAAATGTAACCAAGGATATAAGAGATCTATATGATGAAAATTATAGCAAACGTATGAAGGAAATTGAAGAAGACACAAAGAAATGGAAAAACATTCCATGCTCATGGATCAGAACAATAAATATTGTTAAAATGTCAATACTGCCCAAAGCAATCTACACATTCAATGCAATCCCAATCAAAGTTGCACCAGCATATGTCTCAAGGCTAGATCAAATAATCCTAAATTTGTATGTAACCACAAAAGACCCTGAACAGCCAAAGTAATATCGAAGAAAACCAAAACGGGAGGCATCACCATCCTGGACTTTAGCCTCTAAAGACTTTAGCCTCTTTGTCTAAAGACAAAGCTTTCATCATCAAGACAGTATGGTATTGGCACAAAAACAGACACATAGACCAATGGAATAGAATAGAGAACTCAGAATTAGACCCACAAATGTATGGCCAACTAATCTTTGACAAAGCAGGAAAGACTATCCAATGGAAAAAAAGACAGCCTCTTTACCAGATGGTGCTGGGAGAACTGGACAGCAACATGCAGAAGAATGAAACTAGATCACTTTCTGATACCAAACACAAAAATAAAAAGATGTATGAAGGACCTGAATGTGAGACAGGAAACCATCAAAACCCTAGAGGAGAAAACAGGAAACAACCTCCTTGACCTCCACTGCAGCAATTTCTTTTTTTTCTTTTTAATGTTTCTTTAAATTTATATCTAGGACAGAGAGAGTCAGCGTGAGCAGGGGAGGGTCAGAGAGAGAGGGAGACACAGACCGAAACAGGCTCCAGGCTCTGAGGTGGCAGTCAGCACAGAACCCGACGCGGGGCTCGAACCCATGAACTGCGAGATCATGACCCAAGCGAAAGTTGGACGCTTAACCGACTAAGCCACCCAGGCGCCCCAACTGCAGCAATTTCTTACTTGACACATCCCCAAAGGCAAGGGAATCAAGAGCAAAAATGAACTATTGGGATCTCATGAAGATAAAAAGCTTCTACACGGCAAAGGAAACATTAATAAAACTAATAGGCAACTGACAGAATGGGAAAAGATAGTTGCAAATGACATATCAGATAAAGGGCTAGTATCCAAAATCTTTAAGGAACTTACCAAACTCCACACCCTAAAAACAAACAATCCAGTGAAGAAATGGGCAGAAGACATGAACAGACACTACTCCAAAGAGGACATCCAGATGGCCAACAGACACATGAAACGATGCTCAGCATCCCTCCTCATCAGGGAAATACAAATCAAAACCACACTGAGATACCACCTCACGCTGGTCAGTGGTTAAAATGAACAAATCAGAGGACTCTAGATGCTGGCGAGGATGTGGAGAAACGGACACCCTCCTACACTGTTGGTGGGAATGTAAACTGGTGCAGCCCCTCTGGAAAACAGTGTGGAGGTTCCTCAAAAAATTCACAAAAGAACTCCCCTATGACCCAGCAATAGCACTGCTAGGAATCTACCCAAGGGATACAGGAGTGCTGATGCATAGGGCACATGGACCCCAATGTTCACAGCAGCACTTTCGACAATAGCCAAACCATGGAAAGAGCCCAAATGTCCATCAACTGATGAAAGGATCAAGATGTGGTTTATCTAGACAATGGAATACTACATGGCAATGAGAAAGAATGAACTCTGGCCATGTGTAGCAACATGGATGGACCTTGAGGGTGTTATGCTGCGCGAAATAAGTCAGGCAGAGAAGGACAGATACCATATGTTTGCACATATAGGTGGATTAGGAGGAACTTAACAAAGGACCATGCTGGAGGAGATGGGAAAAAATAGTTGGGGAGAGGGAGGGAGGCAAACCATGAGAGACTCTTGAATGCTGAGAACAAACTGAGGGCTGATGGGGGTGGGGGAGAGGGGAAGGGAGGTGATAGGCATGGAGGAGGGCACTTGCTGGGATGAGCACTGGGTGTTATATGGAAACCCACTTGACAATAAGCTATAAAAGAAAAATAAATAAAATAAGTAAAAAAAATTTTAAAATGCTGTGAGTCCAATCTCTCATTATATAGAACCTTGTTATAGCGGACAGCACAAAACACGGGGTCAGGAGACCAGCGCTCGAATCCTAGCTCCACTACTAACCGTCACTTCCCATCAGAGAAGCCACAGATCAGAGCGAGGGGCAAACCAATGCGGTGAGAGGTGGGTGAGCAGGGTGGCTGGAAATCAGACAGCCTGACTGTGAATCCAGCTATGTGGCCCTGGACAAGCCAATGAACCCTCTGTACCTCTACTTCCTCATCTGTAAAATGCGGATGAGTACCAACCTCGTAAGGTTGCCCTGAAGATTAAATGACTACGCAGAGGGGCGCCTGGGTGGCTTAGTCGGTTGAGCGTCCGACTTTCGCTTAGGTCATGATCTCGCGGTTCGTGGGTTCGAGCCCCGCGTCGGGCTCTGTGCTGACTGCCAGCTCGGAGCCTGGAGCCTGTTTCAGGGTCTGTGTCTCCCTCTCTCTCTGACCCTCCCCTGCTCACGCTGTCTCTCTGTCTCTCCTAGAAATAAATAAAACATTAAAAAAAAAAAAATTTAAATGACTACGCAGAAAGCACTTTGACCAATCCTCGGTAATCCTAGTAAATGATAAATGCTACCCAAGTATCTGTTAAGTAAATAAATTAAATATATTGATTTCATTTTCCTCATTTATAAAAAGGGACATGACTACATCGGTGCTGAGGACATTTCCTATTCCAACATTCTAGGACCTTCCACGCTTAATTTGCAGACACAAAATTAAGGACACTCCCTGATAAGAAAGACAAGGTCCTCAACTAGTTCATTAAACTGGTACTAGTTCTCAAACAGCCAGGAGATGGTTGTGGCTGTCTTTAAATGTTCACAGGTAAAAGAAAAACTTCCTGGGGTTTAAAAAGTTATAAAAAAGAACAAGCAAACCAAACAAGATGCTTCACCTGCTCATTAACGGAGACGTCAAGGGACACATCTATCTTGTCTGGTTACTCGGAGCTTGAAGGTCAGGCACATGCAGCATTCCTGAGATCCAAGCCTTGGAGACAGGCTTCCCCCAACACGAAAGGAGGATGGCTTTGAGCAGTCCCGTCCCTTTGGTCTGTCACCGACTTGGTCAGACTCTTGGTTTTCCTCATTGGTGCACAGGAGACCATGAAACTCAAAAGACTTGGATCCCACACATCCTTTTCCCACCTAAATTCTAGTCACTGTTAATAAAGATTATGACTCCTCTCAATCTGTCTTCAGGCTTTTTCCAGAAGAACAAACTATTCTGGCGCTCATCCACCAAGATAAAAGGAAGCAAGAACCATGAACCTCTGGAGCGGAAACTGAAGCATGCAAAGTGGAGGTCAAATGCTACAGGCTTACTGGAGTATGATTCAATGTTTTCCTCGTAGTTATTAATAGAACAAAAAAGAGTATTCTTTAAAGACTGTTTTTTTAGTTTCAAGTAATCTCTACACCCAATGTGGGGCTCGAAGTCACAACCCTGAGGTCAAGAGTCGCACACTCTGCTGACTGAGTCAGCCAGGCGCTCCAAAGAATAGTTTTTAAATAATCAGTGTTCTTTAAATGTATGATCAGCTGGGGTTTGTTTTTCTGAAATCATGGTGTATGTATGGGAATTCATGCAAAGCAAGGTCATATAATGGGATTTCAATGCATGGTAAATTTAATAATACATTTTATAGGTATTTAAATAAGTTGGCAAAAAATTTTAATTTTTTTAATGTTTATTTATTTTTGAAAGAAACAGAGTGAGTGGGGGGGGGGGCCAGAGAGAGAGGGAGACACAAAATCTGAAGCAGGCTCCAGGCTCCGAAGTGTCAGTGCAGAGCCTGGTGCGGTTCTCAAATTCATAAGCCACGAGATCATGACCTGAGCCGAAGTTGAATGCTTAACCAACTGAGCCACCCGCGTGTCCCGGCAAAAACATTTTTTAATAAAAATAAACCAATACTAAGTTGGAGTTTACGTCCTTTTAGATGTTCCTCATTTAATAGAACAACAATATTATGAGGAAGTCAAGACAACAAAGTGAGGTGACTGGGTGCTTAGACCAGGATTTTCTGCCTCTATTCGTTTTTTGTTTTTAGTAGTGATTCAAATAATTTAGAAACTTCCAAAGGGATATTCTTAAGCAGTCCCTATTTTTCACAAATAATACAATTGACTACAAATGGTACTGAAGTCACTGTTGCTTTTAGTAAAGATAAAATGGTATTTGAGCAGCAGCCCACAAAACCTTTCTTTAAGTTCAAGTTCCCTATGATACAACACAAAACACTATTTTTGTTTACCCCATAGTTCTAAGTTCAATGTCATCCACATGATGGGTACTCAGGAAATGTTTCTTCACAAGAAAGAGAGAATGAATGTAGAAATAAATGCCATGTACATATTTTCCTCTGACAATGGAGCGACACACCAAAATCTTTGAATTCGTAGACAAAGAGAAGAAAAATCCAGCTCATTTTCCTAGTAATGCTATACTGGTACACTACTTTCAAAGAGGAAGAAAATCAACCAGGAAAATTGCTGTTGTTTGGCACTTACCATGCTGGACGACTGGTTCTCCTAACGGCTCCCCAGCAATTAGGATGAAGTGGTTTCTCTCAGGATCCTCAAGTCAAGAAGAAAACATCAAACAATAAACATGCAGATTTTTGAATGTCAAATTAGAAATAATCTGAAGCTGACATGCTGGCCAAATGGACAGTGTTCTCAATTCTCAATATAAATTCCAGAAATATTTTCTGTGTAATGCTCAACATGGAAATGCTTGTTCCTTTTTTTTTTTTTTTTTAAGTTTTATTTATTTAAGTAATCTCACAACCCTGAGATCAAGAGTCATACACTCCTCTGACAGAGCCAGCCAGGTGCCCTCGAAACATTTATTCTTTTTTTTTTTTTAATATTTTTATTTATTTCTAGGGGAGAGAGAGAGAGACAGCGTGAGCAGGGGAGGGTCAGAGAGAGAGGGAGTCACAGACAGAAACAGGCTCCAGGCTCTGAGCTGGCAGTCAGCACAGAGCCCGACGCGGGGCTCGAACCCACGAACCGCGAGATAATGACCTAAGCGAAAGCTGGACGCTTAACCGACTAAGCCACCCAGGCGCCCCCTTTCAATCCTTCTTTTAACCACATGTCAATCTGTATTCCTTCAGCAAGGTCCCCATGAATTGTGCCAGTTAAAGAGTATCGTTTTGAGGGCAGCTAATGAAGAATTGATTGTCTGCCTTGACAAACTACAAGTGAATGTGCTAATCCATGAGGCTTAAGACTTTCTCAGTACAACATCAATATAAACATGCATCTAAAGGGGACATCGAGTCTTTCCTATAAAACCTACGTGCTCCTGGTCAGGGAGCCATCCTGACAAGGGCACCAACTGTGGGCAAAGCAGCACAGGGAGGCTTCGCCCCTGAAACAGAGGCTGTTCCAAGGTGACCAGAACAGTCCAGGATGAAATGCCCAGAGAAGCATGGAGTCGATCCCAATCTCTAAGAACTCTGAACAAGGGAAGACTGTTTGGAAGCCATTGTTGGGAGTTTGGGCTTCCTCCAAGAAGTCAGATGGCCTGGCCTAAACAATCTTAAACCTAGCAGAAACCAAGCCCCCTGTAGTTGCCACGTGTCATGGAAGGCTTCAGAGTAAGGGTCAGAGAAGACAGTCCACCCTCAGGAAGAAGACGGGGTCCCTGAAGCCTAAAATGTGTCAACCTAAGACAAATCAAATGCTAGGATGGAGCGGGAAACCTGGGGACAGAAACGATGTGATCAACATCAACCCTCGCGTGCCCTCCTCTCCTGCCCCAGAGGGCTGGCCACTCTAGAGGAAGCCGCCCTTACCTAGTGAAGCGGGAGATAGGTGCAACTGTGGAAGGCTCAGAAAGTGAGTAGCAGTGAAAGTGCTAGGAGCTGGGGAGTATACCAAATCCTTATTCTTATTTTTTATGTTTAGTTTTGAGGTGGGGGAGAGGGGCAGAGGATCTGAAGTGGGCTACAGACTGAGAGCAGAGAGCCCGACGCGGGGCTTGAACTCACGAACCGTGAGGTAGTGACCTGAGCTGAAGTCGGACACTCAACCTACTGAGTCACCCAGGTGCCGTCCAAACCCTTATTCCTGACCACAACACAGTGCAAATGGGATTAAGGGGAACATTGGGAAGTCGGATCTTCCTTCTCTAAGCCTCAGGCTTGCTTCCAAGTGAAGGTGACCCTGGCCTGGGGCCTGGAGTGAATCAGGATACCTCAGAGGCTTTTTCTAGCTGTAGAAACTGCTATGTGCCCTGAACCTTAGGGCCTAAAGCATGAATCCTCATGATGTAACATGTATCTGATGTGACTCTCCATTAAATTAGGTGCTTAGATCAGTGAACCTTCTGGCTACCATTATTGGGCACCCATTATGTACTAGACCAGGGGTTAGCAAACTTTTCCCTGTAAAGAGCCAGAGAATAAGTATTTCAGGCTTAGTGGGGCCTCGAGTCTCTGCTGCAACCAGTCACCTGTACTGTTGTGGTGTGAGAGCATCCACAGACAAAGAGAAATTAATGGGCATGGCTGTGATCCGACCAAACTTTATTTACAAAACCAGGTTTGAATCTGGCCTACTGGATGTAATTTACCAACCCCAGTGCTAGACCTGGGGCAGACTCTTTTTTGTTTTTTATATGTTTGTTTATTTCTAGGAGAGAGAGAGAGACAGCGTGAGCAGGGGAGGGTCAGAGAGAGAGGGAGATACAGACTCTGAAATAGGCTCCGGGCTCTGAGCTGGCAGTCAGCACAGAGCCCGACGCGGGGTTCGAACCCACGAACCGCGAGATCATGACCTAAGCGAAAGTCGGACGCTCAACCGACCAAGCCACCCAGGAGCCCCGGGCAGACTCTTGACATACGTAACCTCACATATCCTTTCTAGTAACTCTATGCAGGTGGCATCATTATTTTGATTTCGTAGACAAAGAAACCGAATCTCAGAGAAGTTGAGAAACGTGTCCAAAGCCACACAGCTAACAAGTGGCAAGGCCAAGATTCCTCCCTTCACGATCTCCTTCCTGTTGTAATCTATGGGGGTACTTTCTACTTATTCATGGATAGAGGCATCACACACCCATTGAAATACTAATTTTTAAAAATAATTTTTTCATAGAGATCTTTCTAATGCCTGGATGGCTCTGGCCGTGCTCGAACCCAGTAATGATTCCAGAAGTCTGCACAACAGAGCCGTGCCTCTGGAACCTGTGAACTGATGTCTTAGCCAACTCTTTGCTGTCCCAGGTGCCCCCCTGCCCGTGCCCCCCGCTTTCTGGCTCCCCTCAGCAACTCCTTCTGGTGGTTCTTTCCACTTTCCAAACCCTTATCATCTGTAACGTGCTCTCTGCTAGGTTATAGGAAGAGCCGAGGTGCCAAGTTAAACCTGATAATGTGACAAACAAACCCATGACCAGTCGGCTCTGGTCTGTGTGTGGCTTCCGGGCCTCCTTCCTGCACTGGCCCGAAACCATATCTGTGGGTCAAAAGGGCCCATTTGAAACAGCTCGACCTAATAATCGAGGTGCATGGACCCCGAGATGTGCATTTTCTCTGGTGCTCATGACATTTCCTTCCTACGTACTCCATAGGTGTGCTGCTACGAAAGTGGGCGAAGACGCACTGATTCTTCAAATCCACCACATTCCACAATACCAAGGTCAGAGCGCCCGAGGCAGGCAGATTGCCTCTCCGCCAGTCACCTGCACCATGACGTCGTTTCCATCACTATTTTTCAAAATTCATCTTATCAGGAGCTTTTACCCAATTGTCTCTTCCATCCTCTTTAATAGAATGACACAAAGCCATCAGATTGGCGCAGCAGGCTCACAAGGGAGTGAGACAATCACCCAAGGGAATGAAATAGAAATATCAGAAACTCTACCTAAGGAGCGGGGGTTCAACACAAAGGGACTATGAAACGCATATATGTTCCGCTCAGTTCAAAGTGAGGCTGACTTGCACAGGGCTCTTTGTGAGCATGGAGATCTGTATTTATACTCCTAGGGGGCCGCCTCGTTTTCACTGATGCTACAAATAAAAGAAAGAGACAGAGAAGCACATGTTGCCCCCAGATGCAAATTTCTAGGGGTAAACAAAGAGACTTCAGGTGATTCCTGAAGACAAGGGATCTGCATTGATAAAACCTTAAAATAAACCGATAGAAGTAACAGATGTTAATGAAAGGGGTTGACAGATTTGTGGTATAGTTTCTTTGCCTAAGAAGAGAGAACATTTTCCAGCCACTCAGAAGAGATAGCAGGCATTTACCTGTGAACTAGTAGAAAGTGCAATTTTCGAAAACAAAAGATTATTAATACTTACCCTGTTCTGTACCTGGACACTGTCACCCTCTCCCAGCACCGCTGTGTGATGAGGCTCTATTTTTTGCTGCTCATCCTCAGGCCCTACAAAAGAGATGACATGTGAGACTGAATGTTCTTTATAGTACGTTTATCATATGGTTACAAGTTTGCTTAACTACACAGCGCCACAATATTAGTTTCAAACTCAGAAATAAGAGACTTAGGAATCTTATAGGATGGTGTGGTTTCAAATGCCATTAGGGAAACACACATATAACTGCACCATAAACTTGTAACATTTTTTTTTTTTATTTAAATGTTTTATTTATTTCTAGGAGAGAGAGAGAGCGTGAGCAGGGGAGGGTCAGAGAGAGAGGGAGTCACAGACTGAAACAGGCTCCAGGCTCTGAGCTGGCAGTCAGCACAGAGCCCGACGCGGGGCTCGAACCCACGAACCGCGAGATCATGACCCAAGCGAAAGTCGGACGCTTAACCGACTAAGCCACCCAGGCGCCCCTAAACTTGTAACATTTTAATGACTTCTCTGAATTAAAAACCAACAGTGTTCACAGGTGGGGACCTGGCAAATGATAAAGGGCCCACGGCACAAAAAAAGATTAAGGACCTCTGCCTCGGAAGCAGTGGTGTGCCGGTCACCGTGTAAAAGTGGCTTTGGGGGAGAAGTGGGAGGACCAGCCTGATTTTTGGTGTGTGCTCATTTCCGTGGTGGAAAGGCTCCCACTGCGGCCAATTTCAACTACCAACGGGAGGTCGGGGAAGAGGTGCACAATCAGCTCCCATGAGCCAGCCCGTCGGCCCCAGCGCTCCATTAAAGGTCCCTTCTCTACTGAAGACTCAGGTCCACAGACGTCCTGGAAGTAAGCAACAGAACTCCACAGACTTTCTACTCATGCATGGGTCTAGCAATGAAACAGAGGTCTGGCACTCTAAGAACAAGCTCATTTAGAGCTGGGTGACCTCCTTAACTGTGATATGGAGAAGCATTTTATTAAGTGTGCTACACGGAGATTCCCAGGAGCACTGGATCACGTCTCTTACCTTCAACTCGTTCATACACAACACCCATATCCATTATCCACATGGTCCACTCCAGCCCCTCATTTTGTTATGTAGCTGTTCCATCACGCATAAGCCAAAACAACTTATAAACCCCCTTCGCTGTCTTTATGGAGGGGGCTGGCAAGAGACAGTTCTCAAATAATGCTGGATTGAGATTCCTCAATCCTTGCCTGTGGTGTTCACCAGTCTGTGAGCAAATCTGGGTTTAGAAACGAGGAGTTCAGGGGCGCCTGGGTGGCTCAGTTGGTTGAGCGTCCGACTTCGGCTCAGGTCATGATCTCAGTTCCTGGGTTCGAGCCCCGCGTCGGGCTCTGTGCTGACAGCTAGCTCAGAGCCTGGAGCCTGTTTCAGATTCTGTATCTCCCTCTCTCTCTGACCCTCCCCCGCTCATGCTTTCTCTCTCTCTCTCTCTCAGAAATTTAAAAAGGAAAAACGTTAAAAAAAAAAAAAAGAAGAAGCGAGGAGTTCATGTTTTCCTAGGAGCGTCAATCCTAATTTTATATGGAGCCCAATTTCTGCCACTCTCTTTGCTGTTCTAAGAGAGGAACCACAAGACTGATTCTGAAGACACCTTCACATTCTGTGAAATGTCGCAGCCTGGGCAGACCTTTTATTATGACGCTAGAGTCAGGTTTCCAGATCTGTCATTGTAAGTGTAACTCGCTTCTGTATTATTTTATGAAATGTTTTTTTAATGTTTCTTTTTGAGAGAGAGAGAGAGAGAGAGAGAGAAAATGCATGCACACATCAGTGCAGGAGGGGCAGAGAGGGAAAGAGAGAATCCCAGGCCAGCTCCGAGCTCGATCGCAGGAACTGAACTGTGAGATCATGACTTGAGCCAAAATCACGAGGTGGGACACTTAACCGACTGAGCCACCCAAGTGTCCCTATTGTATGAAATGTTTAAAACGATCCCTGAAAACAAAGACTGCTTCTATATTCCTATCAGTTCTATGTCATTTCACTCACTTGATTATCTCCTGAACCTAAAATAAGTCTCAAAGAAAAAATACTTTATTGTTTCCGACTCCTTTCAATTAGAAACAGAGCCAAATCAGATAATAAATAGTTTCCATTGAGAAGCTTCGCCAAGAATGTTAAATCTAATAGTGCAGTTAAGGAAGGTTTAAACTGAAAATGATTGGATTGCAAATATTTTTGTTTGCCTAAACAGTCCTAAAAGGGCAAAATACTTTAAAACATATTTTCAAGTTAGTGCCGCAGCTCCAGTGTGTGATTGATTGCAGGGCAACTTTGCCCCATATGCCACATTTCCTTTCTCTTCTCTTTATAAGAACTGCTGTCCCAGGGACTGGCCATTCCACACATTCTGGCACTTTCAGTAGAGTTTGAGATCATCAGTTTTATATGTACAAAGCTCTCTTGTCTGATGCGATCAGGACTGCTGATTGAAAAAGACAATCAACTGCCTCCAACATTTTAAATTAAAATTTTTAAATGTTTATTTATTTTGAGAGAGAGAGAGAGAGAAAGATGGAGGGGGGGAGGGGGGGAGAGAGAGAGAGAGAGACAGAGAGAGAGAGAGAGAGAGCATGCAGAGGAGGAGCAGAGAGAAAGGGAGAGAACCGCAAGGAGGTTCTGCACTGTCAGTGCGGAGCCTGACACAGGGCTTGATCCCATGAACTGTGAGACCATGACCCGAGCTGAAGAGTCAGACACTTAACCGACTGAGCCACCCAGGCGCCCCTCTGCCTTTTAAATTAGAGTGTAAATGTGCATACATTTGCCAATATTTAGAAATACAGTTAAAGTGGGTCTGTTGATTGGATTGAAGCATTGTCTTTCTAAAGCAGAACTATAATGACTATAACCACTGAAATCCTTCTAGATGATTAGTTTCTCCCAATCTTTTCTGGTCATCTTCCCCATACTAATTCAAAGGCTCTCCTTTGGTAATTCACTTTTACAAAACATTTGACTTAGTGGTTCTAGAAATACCAACTTTTTTAATGCTTACTTCATTAATTTACATATTGTTTCACTGAATTACATAATCGCAATTATTAGTGCCACTGGCCGAACAGATCTGAGAACAGGCGCGACTGCCTTGAAGTGCACTTGAATTTGGCCAGAAGGAGTAGCAATGGGTGGGCAGACCAGAGTTCATCACCCTGGGTGTCCAAGCACTTCATGCCAGGTGTTCCCCATGGAATGAGCGCAGTGCTTACTCTGGTTCCTTCTAGGTAAGCGGAGGTCAATTTGGAGGGCTTTTAGTTTCCCCACCTTTACTGAGATCTGGCGGCTGTGTCAAACTTAATACTCCCCAGACCCAGAAGTAAAGGGCTGAGCATAAACTATGCATGAATAATTACTTATTTAAATAAGTCTGAAACATCTCACTACCCGCATAAGCCAGTTCCATGTCATTTCAATAACCATAGACAAATATTTTTAGATTTCTAAATATATTTTTTTTAAGTTTGTTTATTTTTGAGACAGAGAGACAGACACACAGACAGATAGAGTGTGAGTGGGGGAGGAGCAGAGAGAGAAGGAGACACAGACTCTGAAGCAGGTTCCAGGCTCCGAGCTGTCAGAACAAAGCCTGATGTGGGGCTCGAACCCACGAACCGTGAGATGATGACCTGAGCCAAAGTCGAACACTTAACCGCCTGAGCCACCCAGGTGCCCCTCTAAATTTATTTTCTAAGCCCACACAGTATACCTGACACTGGCCCCTCTAGGAGGCTGACATCGAAGCCGCAGGGATACAGGATATGAACTGCTCTACCCTTTGATCTCTGTGTCAATGTTTAATGTCGTTCTCATCTCGGCTTTCTGACTATGCGGTTTTTAGTTTCTGATTTTTAAAAATCATATACTGCACATATTTCAGCTGAGGGCTGGTCAAAGGACCCGTCGCCTCTGTAAAAGATTGTTGTCGAAGATCTCCAGCAATTTCTAATGTTAAAGCCTCCACCTGTCCTTATTCACAATCTACTGATACCCGTCTTTTAAGAACTTCCTGCATCAAGGAAAGAATATTCAATGGAAAAAAGACAGCCTTTTTAACAGATGGTGTTGGGAGAACTGGACAGCAACATGCAGAAGAATGAAACTAGATCATTTTCTCACACCATGCACAAAAATCAACTCAAAATGGATAAAGGACCTGAACGTGAGACAGGAAACTATCAACACCCTAG